ATACACATATACACACGTACATTCTCACACATATAAAAAGGAAAAACCTTAATTTTCCAATTTACTGTTGTCCAACAGTCTCAAAAGAGAAGAGGAAGCAAGGACATCCAGAAGGCAGACAGGAAATCTGCACAGACTCCTACAGAGGTGAGATGTTTTCACAAATAAAACCTAAAAACCTTTTTCCACTTTGTTTTTTTCTTTTCTCTTGCATAAACAATCATATTGCCCATAATGATGGAGAGAATCATCTGGAAAATATCTTCTTAAAGAACATCTGGTGTGAGATGAACTCTTTCTGTAAACTCATCTTTTCCCTCAACCTTGTCTTTGCATTATTATGTCATTAGTGACATATGTCATTAGTTATATATGTTATTAGTTATATTTGAATTCCAGTCATCTATAAGACTTATTGAAATACTGTACACAGAGGTTTAGCTCACATCCCAGGGTCAAACATTGATTTTCCCTTCCAGCTACAGCAGGACAAAATCCAGTCATTTTAAAGAAAAGTATATTTAAATGAAGGCTGAGACTTTGCAGAGCTTTAGACTTAGCAGACGTCAAACATCCACTTGGTCCAATGATTTTTGGCTTAGAAAGACTGTGGTACAAAATCTTCTCTTTAATCTTAAATCCTTTCATCTTTACGTCCAACCATGTGAACTTTGGGATTAGATTTGAACCTTTCTACTTAAATGCACTTTCGTATTTAAGGTCGGTGTTGTCTCTTTGCTCCAGGAGGACAATGAGGACCTTAAGTGCCAACTAGCTTTCATCAAAGAGGAAGCAGTGCTCATGAGAAAGAAGACGGCCAAGATTGACAAGGAGAAGGACCGGCTGGAGCAAGAGCTGCAGAAGTACCGCTCCTTCTATGGAGAACTGGACAGCACCCATCCTAAAGGAGAAGCTGGGGGTCCGCCCACCACCCGGGAGTCAGAACTGAAGCTACGGCTCCGCCTAGTGGAGGAGGAAGCTAACATCCTGGGGAGGAAAATAGTTGAGCTGGAGGTAGGAGCATACATAATTCACTGGTCAGTTAAAGGGGATGATACCTCAGCGCGAGTCATGTGAACACTGAGCTTTTCTACCCCACAGGTTGAGAACCGTGGCCTGAGGGCCGAGCTTGACGACCTCCGTGGTGAAGGAGAGGGCGCTGGAAGCTCTGGGTGTGGAGCGATGGGCGGGTCGGGCACAGGGCGAGGCCTCGGTGATGATCTGACGGAGCTCCGACAGCAGCTGCAGTTGGTGGAGGACGAGGCAGAGCTACTGAGGAGGAACCTCGCTGATGCCGAAGAACAAAACAAGAGAGTGACTGGCGAGCTGAACAAGTTACGGTTCAAAGCCGGCACCCACGAGGGAGGCGCCAGGCATGGGGGCGGAGCAGGAGGTGCAGGGATTGATGGAGCAAAGGCAGAAGCCCTGCAGGAGGAGTTAAAGGCAGCAAGGCTACAGATTAATGACCTAAGTGGCAAGGTATTACAAGTTGATTGATGATATTGACAC